CAATATTATCATAACAAAGATCAAACACAATTAAGGATCAAATCTAATTTATGAGTATACATTAGTGCATGACTATTATTTTTAATGGTCCAAAAATTAAATCTATGCAACATGTGCTCCATAGATTCAAGGCATTAGAATCCATTACTTTATATTTTGCTATAGCTTGCTAAGTCAAAAAGTGCTTCAATTAACATTATTTGTAATATAAAAGACTAGTTTGGTGAACCAGGAAAATAAATCTATTTCTGTAACTATACATATTATTGGCCATATATTTAAAAAAGGATTTTTAAAAAGCATTTTCTAAAATGTCCTAATAGTAATAACAATAATATCCCTGGATCTTTAGATTAATTTTAAAAGTTTTCAAATGCCCAAATTAAGTCACCACTATTCTACCTGAAAGAGCAAACTAATACAAGCATATTTTAATGTTTGCTGTTTTATGGTAAGGATACATAAGGTTTTATTTTCACAGAATATGTTGACACTTAAAAACCCTTTTAATTGTGAGAACTACAATGGTTTCGTGCAAAGAAGAATAAAAATTATGGGACCTGAAAAAATTACAATGTAGAGACCTTTGTTTTCTCTCTTATGTGAAGGAAGTATGTCTCCTTTGGCACTTGCCCTAACTTTTCCAATTCAAAAAGGTTATTTAGTAGGTAGCAAATATATAGGCCACTAATGTAAATTGTCTCTATTATGCTCTTCGCAACACTAAAATAGAAATTTTAACACAGGAAATTACCTCCTTCCTTGTAATCAGTGAATCACTCTAAAAGAGTGAGACTTTTTACTATAATTCTGTTCCATCCTAAACTAAGGAAATAAACAAGCAGAGTAATCTTCCTTACCAACAAAAAAATTATTGAAGATATTAAATCTGTCTGGTTCCAAAATTACCAAAACACTCTTTAAATCTTCTCTCCCTCTTTTACTTTTCAGGCAAAATATCAGAATTGTATTAGCTTGTAATTCTCATCAGAAGTCCAGTTTAAATACACTAACATTTACTACATTCTACCATCACAGAAGACTTCTCATAAAATATTGTCTATCAATCAGACTAATTAAGTTCATATATCAGTGAATACTTAAAGAATTTCAGTGGCAGATTGTTTTTAATGGCACCAATAAACTAGCTTTCATCTATATTTTTTTCAATCTTCTACACGCAGTAATTTTGAACATTTTAAATGTGCCCTATGGAGAAAAAAGTGCACATAAAAATCGATGTGTATAAGTAGAATAAAAATGGATACATAAACCAAATTTATAGACCTATATGACCTACAGACAATGACATTTTGACTTAGCAAGCTACAGCATACTAGATTAAATTTTTTGATCCTTAAAAATAGTCATTAGCCCTGACCAGTATGGCTCAGTTAGTTGGGCATTGTCCCATGCAAGAGGCAAATGATCTATGTTATTCTCCCTCTCTTTCTCCCTTCCTTCCCCTCTTTCTAAAAATAAATAAGTAAATAAATAAATATTTTTGGTGTTTACATAGGTTCCCATGGCATTAAATAGTCTTGCGTAACCCCCCCGCAAAAAATTTTTTTGAAAGGCTAACAAAATTTAATAATAATAATCATTATACATTCTTTTAACTTTTTGTACGTTTCAAAAATTTGTTTTAAAATATTTTAAAATGGAGTTTTTACACCTCATTGGTTTATCCTTAAAATAGATTTTTAAAAGTTTTATTTTTAAAACATATAAAGTTTAAGAACACAAAGAGAAGCAAGACTTTTCACTTTTCTAGAAATTCCTTTTCATAGTTTATTGGATGTTCCACATTTTTTTTACTCCCTACACACTAATTAACTAATGATTTTTATTGGCAACTAATAATTAATACTACTAATGAAACAAACCCCCAAAAAAGGAATTCAAGAAAACTACTTAGGTTTTACACAATATGCTTTCCTCTCCATATTTTTCTGGACTTTCCCCACCATTCACTGTTGCTAGACACTAGCTCCATTAACCTACCTTTCTTACAAATAATTAAGGAGCAGGGCCTATCACACTGAACACTTATCTCAAAGCCTGTGAGCACCAAAATTTGTAAGAGAGATTTTTTTTTTTAATGTGGCACATAAAGCTAACACAGCCTGTTTATCTTACAGAAGATCATGAACTAGCCAGTTTTTTTGTTTGTTTGTTTTTGGTGTGGGATTTTTAATGAGTTTTTTTTTGGGGGGGGGGGTTAGTGATTTGGAGGGAGCAGGCTAAGTTTTAATGAAGAGCTTTAGAAGCCTCAGGGAACTTCAAGAAGCCAAAGAAAAACTAAGGGAATTTTAAAAATTTAATCATAGTATCCAGTCGCTCTCTTCTCCAGAATTTCAGAACACCAAATTTCTGTATGGTGGTCACACAAAGCCAGTAAAGCAGCAGGGCGTACACCACCAGCTTCTAAAATTCCTATATGCACTGTTGTAGCTGCTGGTTAAAACAAGGTACTAAATATTTGTATGTTTACTCCTTTTGTTAGATAATGGTGACTAATTTTTTCTAGGCATATTTTAACTGCAACAATAAATTTACCATCGGGAATTTAAAAAATGAGCTTCTTACGAATGTAGCTTCCACCAAATGTCACACCTTCATTTGACGAATGTTTATTTAAAGTTCTCTCTACTCTCATGACACGAAAATCCCTTCAAAATGTATGCTATTAAAATGTCTGAACTTGGAAAACATCTGGCCTGTCAAATTACTTGGGGGGGCTTGTGGTTCTTTAAGTACATTGCTTGAGATAGTGTATTTGGAAAGAATTCACTTATCATTCTCAGGCTTCATAGAGAGCTAGTCCTGAAAACAAATGTATGTTGTAGTTCACTGCTACCATAGAGAATCAATAGTCATCTATTTAATTTGCTAAGACAATGTAAATCAGTAACTTCCGGCCAGATGTGTGATATACACATCAAACAAACTGCAACCTGTTCATTATGAAAATCCTGTCAACACACCCACAGCCACTTGATGACATTTTATCTAAGGCAGTTTCCACATTTACAGCTATAAAAATTGTCCTAAGAATTTTTATAAAAGATTGTGAGCTGAGACTCATAAAAGGGTAATCAATTTCAGCTTTTCATTTTGTGTGCTTGTGTTTACTTCCATTTTCATTTAGAGGCATAAAACATTCAGGAAAACATGTGCCATGCTATTTTTCCTTCTGTAAATCATTTATCCTCATTACATCTTTTAAATCTGATGTAAAGTTGGTAGCCTAATCCTGCAGCTCTAAAGAAGTGTGTAAAGTGAAGAATGACAGAGTCAACAGAAGAAAGAAAATACACTTATGCACTGGAAAACAAAACAGAATATTTCAAAATGACTCCAAACATAAATTAAGTTTACCCATTGGGAGGTCTAACTTGCATTCTGATCATTTATATGGGTCTGTGTGACTATGTACCCTGCTGTTTGATAAAAAATGATTACTAACCACAGGCACCCACCAGAGAACAGAGAGTATGTATAATGCTTGTGATGTCTCAGACATACAAAGCACCTTCTTAAAGAATGTCAATTTCCTTTCCATGGTAAGTAGACATAATTTTTCACTCTTTAATACTTATGCTTCACAGAGTGGCTCATTTCATGAATTATGATTTGCCATTTTCTCTTATGTTTATTTTAATAATATGAAAAACTGCATTCATAAAATAGATGATTTTGTTTCATGATACCGCAAATATTGCTATGTTTTCTGTTCTGTATTAAAATACACAGCCTTCATGCTATTACAAAAACCTACTAGTATTTATTTTGGCACTTTACTAAAATTAAAAAAAAATTCTTCTTAGTAACCAGGCATTTTCTTGAGTACTGAATTCTCATCTAAATTCATTTTCCAAGTCTATTGAATTAAATTTTCTTATTAAGGGGGACAAAAAAGCAAATAGTGTTATTGCCAAACATAGTATTTCCAACTACTACATTTTTAATTTGTCAATTTAAAAGAACGTGGAATGAATCCAGTCCTCATCACCTATAGTGTAGTCTGATTCCAAAAAGCACTCCTTGACCAACATCCTAAAGTCAAACTAGCATTTCTACCAAGGGCCTGGTGTGTCAACCCTTCCAAAGTAAATAATTCCTGAGGTCCCCTAAAATCACAAGAATTTCAACCTCCACAAAAAGAAAAAAAAAAAGACAACTGCGCACACAAAAGGGTTCTTCGTAGAGGCTTCAACCTTTCGACTTTCACAAACATTATACAGAACGTGCTTTCTTCTCCAGCCGCACACCAGGCCACGTGATCAGCCTGCAGGGCCACACGATTATGTTTCTAGAAAAGAATAAGGCTCAAACACGGCTGCCCAGGCCGCCTAGCCAGCCACACCCGCAGGTCGCACCGCAAGGCCGGCTCCTCACCCAGTGATGCTGTCACGCAATGCGTGCGGGGCCTGGGCGCAGGCCAAGACTTGCAGCATTTGCTCAGGTTCCTTTGCTTTAGGGAGGTTAAAGTCAGATCCACTTGGTCACTTAAACCCCCTTTGTGGTTCAGGGGGAAAATCACTCTCTCAGAACTCTTAACTTTGATTGGAGACTCTGGTTAAAATTAAGAACTTCAAACCCAGATTTGAAAAAGTGAAACAGATGTCCTGTTTGTTATCCATAAACGGCTCCGTACGGCGGACCCTTTCCTCTCTCTCTCTTTTTTTCTTTCTGCCGCATTAAGTTTTATTTAATGCAGAGTTCGCTTAAAAGGTTAAAAGAGAGTAGAAAGCAAATATGAACTGTGGATGGAAAAACTCCTAAATCTTTCTCTAGAATATAACGAAGGAAGCTCCTTCATAAAGATGAAAGTGCTCAAGCTTCCGCCTCCCAACGCAGGCATCGCTGAAGTCGAAACCCGCGACCCCCGGGTACGCTCGTCTCGCAGAACCTGGTGGTGGGTGCCCACCACCTGCACCCTCGTGGGGACTAGGTAAAGCTTGAAGTGAGAGAAAGAGCCCCAGATTTGCACTCACGTAAGAACATAGTTGACGCTGACGATACAGTGTGGCCTGGACGAGCGGCTGTTGTGCACGATGGTCGCATAGCTCTGCACCCATACCCAGCCTCCGTGTTTCGCCAGGAACCTGTAGTACTTGGTGGTCACCTGTCCCTTCACCAGCACTGGTGGAAAAACAAAAGGCAGCTGGTGGCGAACAAGCCCGCTCCTGATCGACCCCAAATGCAACCCCTGACAGTGAGAGTATGGGTCCCCTGTGGGTCCTAATTAAAGTGCGCCAGGGCAGGAGACAGCGACGCCATGCACCTTCCCAAATGCACGTATTGTCCTGTTAATTTGTTTCGAGTCCTCGAGCCCTCACGATTAGCAAAAAAGGGGAATATTTAGAGTTGGGGGATTCTACTCCCATCCCCCACTCGATTTTCTAACTACGTTAGGTAGCTGGGGCAGCTCACTCCCTGGTTCGCCTTCCCTTTCCTGGGAGATTAAGCTCAAAGCAAAACAATATCAAAAACCAAGCGAGTGATACGGATCAATGCGCGTGAGCCAAGTGGGCTAGCCTCGGTTTTTCTAACCATCTTTAGTAAGGTTTGCGCGGCGGGCGGGGACGGGCAGCATGTCAATAGGAGAATAAAACCCCTCCCTGGAGAATTTCGCCCAGAAACTCAGAAACTCTACCTCGCCATGTGAGGGACCGCGGATGTCAGAGAAACAAGGGTTGGAGCAGCCGCTCGAAGGATCTCACCAACCGCCACCACTAGCTACCGGGGCTCCCAACTGTCCCCTGGCTAGGAGCTTCTTAAATCACGACCTCTCCCCTCCCCCATCCCTACTGTGGGGACTCGCAGGGTTTGTGCGGGTGCCGCAGGGTGGCGCCTTACGCAGGTGGTGGGCGCAGCGCAGGTGGAAGGTGTCGCAGCCGTGCACGTGGTGGTACAGCGTCTTCTCAATCAAGTCCTGAGGTTCATACCCCGTCAGCTCTGCCACTCTGCAGAGAGCAATCCCCGCGGGATGAGCGCGGGGTGTGGGGGCGTGCCCCAGCCCACACGGCCACCAAAGACCGGGGTGCCCCCCTCACTTCGCAGGGCCCGATCAGTCACCTCATCTGCAAAATGGGCTCCTAAGGTCGACGAGGATCTCTCAGCCACTGTGCAGGGCCGCCCTCCCGCTAGGGATGATTCTTCCCCTCCTCCCTGCCCCCTCCCCCCGCCACCCACCTGGAGTCCAGGAAGATGAGCTTCATGTCCAGGCTGGCGCGGAACATGAACATGTTGCTGTGCAGCTTGATCTCAGTGACGGCGCTGGGCGGCAGAGAGTGGCCCACGGCCACCAGACCCACATTTTGGTAACAGCCATCGAAGGGGGACATGTCCAGGCTGTACTGGCGGATCTTCAGGTAGCCGCTGCAATGAATGACCTGCGGCGGCAGAGAGTGACAGGGCGAGACTCAGCTACTCAGTCAGGAAATCACCCAAAAAGGTGGGGAACGGACTAAAACCTTGAGACTCAGCCAGGCCACAAACGCCGCTTGGGTCACGCCCCGCTCTCAAGTGTCCAAAGGTACTGGTGCCCTAAGGTGCCTCAAGAAAACGACTGTACTGCCTCATTGAATTTACCTGGGGGCTTGTAAAAATGCAGAAGCCTGGGCCCTGCCACCCTGAGGCACCCGAATCGCGAAGCGGTGCCCTGGAACCCGCATGTTTAATCTCATTAGACCGGAACACCACGTATTTGACCTAAAGCCTCGGTTCTTAACCTCTCTGGGGGTCAGAATCTGACGCCATGAGTAAACTCTACGAACCCACCCAAGCGACCAGTCATTTCCGACGCTTGACACATCCCTAAGGCCCATTATGGGCCCTAGATTTAAGAGCCCCAGCGGCTCCTCAGTATCCCGGCCCAGTGAGACTGTCTTAAAACGTAGTTCCAGGGGTTTACAAAGTTCACTGTCCCTCGTGATGCACCCCCTCCGGCAGCCGGTCGACGCAAGCGGGGAACGCCTTCCGGTGCTGTCCCGGCCACCAGAAAGTCCCTCCCATGCATGGAATGCCTCTAGTCCTGTCCCCTTCGCGTACACCTGGCCAAGTGGCCTCGGCCGCCAGGGGGCATAGATGTCCCCTCTCAGCCACGCACCTTGTAGCCGCCGCAAGTGAGGCCGGCGTTTCTCTTGGCCAAGACGCACTTCATCCTCAGGAAGAAGGAGCGCTCGATCTCGTACTCTGGGAGAGAGGAGCGGAAGGAGGCGCAGGACGTGAGACAGGCGGCGCAGCGCCACGGTCCCTGCCATGGCTAACTGGGGAAAAGCCAAAAGCGGACCGCGATGGGCCCGAGTGTGTCTCAGGCACGCCTCCGCCTTACCCTGGACAAAGTGAGAGTGGTAGGGCTGATGGGCCGTGAGCACCGCTGTCATCTCGTCGTGGTCAGCCGGGTGGATGTATTCGTAAATGCTATTCCCGGTTAGTTCTACCTGTAAACAGGAGGGTATCACCATCTCCCAGTGGTGGATGCCACATGGAGGGACTGGAAGGCTGGGCCAGGGGATCCACAAGCTTGTGAGGACAGGAGTCAGAACACTGGAGTCGGCCCTGAGTTCTAATTCCAGTTCTGCTGTTGCAGCCTATCTAAGCCTCAGTTTCCTTATCTATGAAAGGAAAGAGGAGGAGGAGGAGGGGGAGGAGGAGGAGGAGGAGAAGTAGCTCCCTGGCAATATTGTGGTGAAGATATCATGACATATGTATGGAACCCATCTCCCATATTGTTTGGCCTCTGGTAAGTACTCAAAAAGGTAGCCACTGTTTGGGCTTGGGGTGGAAGCTGAAGAATATAGGTAGTGGGGAAAGGGAGAGATCCAGCCCTCCTGCCCCTTGAGATGTTTTCAGTGCCAGAAATGCACATATAAAACCTTTGGGAAAGCCTTCCCACCCCGCACCTCCTGCCTCCAGCTCTGGTTGTAAACACTGAAGGCCAGAGGTGTGGACCACTCACCTACCTGAGAAAGACCCAGGTGGACTGAGGCTGTCTCCGAGATGTACATGATCTTCCCATCTGGGGCCACCACAAAGATGAAACCATCCAGGGTCTGGGGAGATAGAAATAGAGTTGAATGGAGAGCCCTCTGGGACATTGGGACAAACTGGACTGAAGGGCACAGAAGTTAGAGATGCCCAGACAGACGTCCAAAGAGATGGAGTAGAGAGGGTCTGGCAGGAAATAGGGCATAGAAACCCAGCCACAAGAGTCTCTCTTTTGTTTTTGTTTTTGGTTGTGTTTTTTTTTTTTTCCCCAAATTTGTAAGATCTGGAAAATGCAGCACACTGGAAGAGACCCAGAGGAAGTAGTAGACAATGCTACTGCCCTCCAAGATTCAGGATTTACCAAAATAGACAAAGCAGACATATCAGGAACATACACACAGAAATATTGTTTGGATGGGGAAGGGGCGTGGTACACAGCCTGCTATAAGAGATGAGTTAGGTTCCTGGGGTGATGATCACTGAAAGAACCAGAGATTTCCTCTGTCAGTCTTGGAGGACTCCATAGTGACAGCACCTTCTAATGGAAAGACTACTAGCAGGGTTTGGGAAATAGCAGCATTGGATGATGTGGAAGGGCTGGCAGTCTGAAAAGCTATAGACAGAAAGCAGCTGGCCAATGGCTCTGAAAAGAGCCTGGGAGAGGGGGATTTAGGAGATGAGAGGCTTTCCAGGCAGCAAGTCCATAAAGAAGTGCTATAGTGTGATATGTGTGTGTGTTTACATTGATGCATCAAACTGACAGACTCTCCGAGAAGGCAAAGCTTAGACTTTCACTGTCCCTATATTTCTGTGAATGGGGCTTCAATCCAGGTAGTGGAGATATTAGGATGAGTCAGATCCTACTCTAGGGAGCTGGAAGTTCAGTAGAGGACTAAAGACAGACACAATGACCACACAGATGAATAGACAGTGCTGTGGTGTTGGGGGCCCAGAAGCTGAGTAGTTAGAGGCCTGGGGAAGAATCAGAGGCCTCAGAGGTGCTGTTTGAGCAGAGCCTTGAAGAGGAAGCTTGAATTGGAGTAGGGAGGGGGCATCCTAGGCAAAGCAGGAACTGGGGTAGGGAGGTCGGGGGAGGAGGGTAGATCTGATGATTTGGGTGAACCAGAGATAGGGCTGAGGGAGTACACCACTGCTGGATTTTTGCACAGTTTGAGATGCCAATCTGAGAATTTAGAGATATTCCTGTAGGCATCAGGGTCCCAATGGAGGTTTCTAAGCAAGGAAATAGCATGCTTAGATGTGTTTGGTTTGGTTTGGTTTGGTTTGTTTTTTTCTGACAGAATGTGAACTGTAACCTATAGGAGAAAAGAGTGGAGAAGAGGAGGTCGGAAAGCAGAGTCCAAGGAGGTTCCAAGGCTGTGGAATTTATAGTGGCAGAAAGAGAAGCTGAGACTGACTTCAGTGTTATTGAGTAGAGGGTAACACCATTAACCAAGACTGGAAATTTAGAAAAGCATGTTGAGTTTTTGTAACTGGAAGTCTGGAAGAGGACAATAATGAATTCTTGACTTGGAAATGCTCAACTTCAGTTGTATGCTGATTTCCATTTGGATGTATTCAGTTGGCAGTAGGAAATGAAGATCTGGAGCTGAGGAGGGGTGTCTAGACTACAGGAACCAGCTAGAGTCATGCAAATGTGGGGAAAGGCGTTGAAGTGATAATGTTGGCTGAGATCACCCAGGAGGCCTTGACGCTGTGAGATGAGAAACAGAGTGGGAACCTTGGCGGAAATGCCAGCATTTACAGCCAGACAGTGATGAGGAAACCAGAGAAGTAAGAAGAGAGGGAGAAGAATCCAGGAAAGTGTGCTACTTTAGAAAATGAAGGGGAGGGAGAAGGTCAAGTAAGAAATGTCACCTCCATTAAGCCCAAATGGCACCTTGTCAATGAGGTCCTCTGCCACACAAACACAGCCCTACCTCTTAATTTTCTCCACAGTATGTACACCACCGGTTACACTACACAGTGTACCTGGGTTTGCAAGGCTGCTCTCTTGAGAATGTAAACTGCATGAAGGCAGGGGCTTTCTGTCTGGCACACAGTTGGCCTTCCTATATTTGTGGAATGAATGAGGTCAAGTGGGATAAGAGACAAGTATGTTATGCTGCATATCAAAATATGGTGGAGCCTATGCAGAGGTGCCTGTACAGCATGGGTGTAAGTGTGGGGCAAGATGAGTGATGGAAATTGAAAGTGTAATTAAGTCTTGTGAGAAAAATGGAAAAGATTGGGCAAGAGCTAGAAGGAGTGACAGGCTGTTTGGAATTTGTTCACTTGTTTACATTGATGGGAGAAATTACCTGGTAATATGGCAAGATTGCGTGAGTCAGTTGTGGAGAGACAACTGTTCAGGCCTCCCCCTTGATGCCTGCTTAGGTTTGAGGCGCCTATATCAGAAGCTCACCTAAAAATGGCACGGAGAGTTGTACTATTTTAAATATTTGCTAGGCGACTAAAGCAGGTGACCGGCAATTTAAAACGGTGTACACTGCAAACATTGGGTAAACTCATTGCCTGGGGAGGTGTACGTGCGCGCGTGCGGGTCTGTTTGTGCACAGCCTAGGCGGCCTGCAGTGAGGGTCTGGGGGCCATGGAAAGAGAGGAGAGAGCCCAGGAACTACCCGGAGGAGATGAAACGAGTTGCAGGCGCAGCTGGATCCGGAATGTGTGAGCTTAAAGCATTGACTGGCATTTCTACCAGATTCTCCTTATTTCCTGTGTAAATCCTTCATTTCGGAAGGTTTTGAAGCCAGGCCTCGGCAGCTTGGCCTGGGGGCGCTCCGGTTCTCTCAGCCCAAAGGTGTCAAATGGCGCCCCTCCCTGGGTTCAGCCGTTCTGACTGGGACCTTGCGGGGCTCCGTTTCAAACCCAACGTCACCTTGCCTCCCTCTCTGCCTCTCGGGGCTCCGCCCGCACCCAGAGAAGCTAACAGCTAAACCTTTTAACTGTGGAGAAACCGTCGAGGCTGCAGGAGGGCCACGACTGGGTGGAATCCCCTTCTTCGGGGAAACGAGAAGCCAAGCGCGGGGCCAGTCACTAGGACCCTCGAACCATAGGCGCCGCCGGGAGGCTCGCGCCAGTACCTGGAGCAGATGCGAGCCCAGTTCTCGGCCAACGTTGTCCAGGGGGCTGGTCCGACTCGAGTGGCCCCACGCCTCGCCGAGCCCTGTGGAGACACAGAGACACTCTTTAACAATGGGGCCCGCGCCCCACTCGCAGTTTGAATCCAGTCTCGACGCAAGACCGGCTGCCTTCAGGACTCCCCCAGCTCCCTGACCTGGACAGCTAGAAACGGGAGCAGATAAATTTCGGTCCCTGCCCTCTCTAAAGGATTGGATAGAAGTCAAATTCCCTCTCCCAGAGGGGCCTGGGCTTCTCAGGGAGAAGAGGGCCTGGATGAGCATCCCCCTGGCAGGACTTCAAGTTGCCGAGTTTGGGGACAGCCTTTGTCAGAAGAAGCCCCCTACACAGCACCCCAGCAAAATCTACTGCACAGGTTCACTAGTGTCCTTAGAGGGGTCAGGGACACTATTTCTGATGCAAGTTTCATCATCATTCTTATCACGAGGCCAAGGATGTCCACACATCCAGAGGATGTCATTGCAGACCCAGAGTAACCTGAGGCAGTGGGCCCGGTCCAGCTTGTCCCTGGTGGGCTTTCTGATTGGCTGAAGGGCTCTCCAGCCCTTTTCCTCCCCTGGGCCTCTGTAATCCCCTTCGGAAAAACCCGTTTGCTTGCAGATGACTTCCAGAGGCAACATACCCTTGCAATTCTTCTTCCTCTGCCTTTTCCCTCCTAGCCCTCACCCTTACACATCCTAAATTCAATCCTCATCTCACCCCCCCAAAAAACAGCAAAGATTTTGGGTTTGGTTTTTTTTTTGAAGTCAGCTATTTGGAGGTTCTAACACCATTTGAGCAGCATTTTCACGACCTTCCGGACATAGAGAATTATTCACATTCTCTACTTTCCAGGTATCATGTTAACAAAGACAGCCCCTTCCTCTCCTTGATGCTTTCATGTTAAGCTCTCTCAGGCTTTGCGACAAACCATTTTTCTGGTGATGCTTAAAAAATAAAATTCTCATGATGCCTGCAGCTGAATTTTTAAAAATTAATATGGAGCCACTATAGTACCTGTTTGCAGAAAGAAAATGAAAATAAGAAGAAATTTGTCCAGGCTGAGGTAAAACTTCTTATGGGCAATATCTTTTAACAGTGTTGCTACTGAAATTAATTTAATTAGGAAAACTCTTGATGTTTACACAATTAAACAAGATTTAACATCACCAAAAAAGGAGGGCAATTTACTGGTTTACTGGGGTACAGGGCAAATCACTATGAAGTACACAACAATAAACACACTGTCATTGTAATGTGGGGTTGTGGGTAGATCTTTCAGAATAAAACATGGAGTTGGACTCCTAAATGTGTTGACCAGGATCTGCTTCCTAAACAAACCATCAAAACCCTGGTAACAAGTAACCGTGAGCACCCCTTAAGCTCAAATCGGGTCTTCCTGGGTGTTTGCACATCTAAATAAATCTAACGATTTCCCCACCGCTCTGCAAACACTGATGCTCCCCACCCGCGCTGGGACTCCTCTACCTCCTCCTTCAACCCTCCTGCCTGTTTAGCCCGCCCCAGTTTCCCTTCCCAGATCGTCTCCACTACCCTAATTCCTATGGTCCTACTGGACAATTCTGGAGGGCCACCTCTACCACAGCCTGTACACATTGCTTGCATTGTCACCTTCTCTTCGCTCCTCCCATCTCAGCCTAACTATCCTCCTTGGTTTCTGGCATAACGCGTTCATTTTCTCATTCCCGCTCGTAGATACCCACCCCGAAGCAGTGGCGGGTAGGGGTGACTAGGGAGATTGAAATGTGGAAAAAGGAAAGGATCCTGGTGGGAGAGCCCGGGACGCCTGGACCCAGCGGAGTCTTGAAAGCCCGAAACGTTTTGGGGGCCTGGGGCTGGGGCACGCGGACGCACAGAGCTGACCGAGGTCGTGTTGCGTCTGGAATCAGGTCTTCCGCAGCGCCCCAAAGGGCGCAAAGCGTCCGCTGCAGACCAACAAATGTCTATTCTAAAATTATGAGGGTCCCCTAAAGCGGCTGGAACATGCCCGAGATCGGCCTCCCGACCCCGAATCATCTTAAAATCCCGCAAGGTGGGCTGAGGTTAAGTACTGGTTCCGAACTTCCCGCGCCCGCCCCGGCTGTTTTGTGGTCTCAGGTTGCGGCCTCATTAGTATGAGCCTACGGGGGAAAATAAGACTACTCTGCAGGTTAATAAACAGCCGGCCCGCTCAGGTTAACAGGGGCCTCCCTCGCCCTCTCCTGCCCCATCCCCCACCTTTTAAGGAACCTTTGGTTTCACGGAGCATTGCCTTCTCTTACGTTCCCGGTCGGTCGAAACCTCCGTCACTCGGTTAAGTCTGGGTTAATGTTTTATAAGGGACCGGCTGCCCTCGTCTACCTGCCAGGCTTTCCTGATCTAACGCTAGGCCTGAGCTCGCCCTTCAGCCTGTCCGGGACACCCAGGTCACGGGTCTCGCCTTCGAAAATCCGGGAGTGGGCCGGAGACCCCTCTCCCGGACCCCTTCACGTCCTGCCTGCGGTGACGCGCTCCCGCACCCAATTTCAGTTGGCAAGGGAGGGTAAGCTGAGATTTCGTTTCTGCACTTGACCTACCGCAGAAAATTCGCAAATCCTTTGATTGTCTGTTTAAAATGAGGAGGAAACCAGCTCCCTTTGCGGCAGGATTACAGTGGGAACAAGATCTAAAGATTTTCTTGTAATTCGGTGAGGCCGAGGGAATGGGGTTTTTGCAAAGGAAAAAAAGGAGCTCTCTGAGGGAGGCGATAACTAAATCGGGTTTTAGACAAAAGGATTTTCCCCAGCTAAAGTGGCCGAAGACAAAGGAAAACATAATCTATTTTGGAAGATTTCCAAGATATGCTACATTAACCTTAGCAGATAAATTTTGTTTCTCCCCGCCCCCCTTTTCTCTTAAAGTCTGGTTTATCATATTTACATAAGTAGTATTACAAGGGATGTATCTATTATGGATCTAAAGGGCTAGCTCACATTTCATATGAAAACCCGGGCGAAGTTTCACTGTTGCTTTACCCTCAGTGTGCGGTGGAGCCATTTCCATTTAAATACCCCCTGACCCAAGGATTACCTCAATGGACTGACTGCACGGGTTTTGTAATTTCCTGAAAATGAGATTTCGATTTATAAAACAAGAAACCAATTAGTAACCAAATGAGGCGAAGTAGATCCACTAAAATTGACCTAATCCCACAGGCACAATTTAGGCCCGTTCTTGGCGAATGAATGATGAGCCCCAGTCTAGCGTGAGCTCAAAGCATCACCCAGCTGTGTTATTGCAAGTAGCAAAAATAAATTGATCGAGCTTTTCCTTCGGAATGAATTTCATACCCTTGACAAAATAAAGATAACAGACCCAGCATCATCACCTCCTTCGCCTAGACCAGAAGGGGAGAAAGAGAAGAGTTTCTTCTACCTTTTTTTCCCCCTCGTGATAAACAAACGTTATATCTCAATAGGACTGTGTCCTTCTTTTAGTGGTTTCCAGAAACCTTCATCTCTGCAATCTACGTTATGTGTCTATTAAGCAACATGGAGAGGCTGGAGGAGCTGTCCCGACCTGATTGCACCTTGGTAACTGAGGCCACAAAAGCCCCTCCGAGACCGCACTCCTAACTTCGAGTTCCGGAGGGACTTGTCTCAGCCACCTGGGGTTTCTCCAGGACCTTCATGTCCTCACCGAGCGCTCAGAGTGCTCACTGTTCAAGCATTTCCCTGGGCCCAGCAACCAAGCAAATTTAGGGCTCCGGGAGCCTTAGTGGCTGGATTCTCTGGAAGAGAGGGAGGGAGATTGGGCGCCCTCGCCAAGACTCAAACGCAGCAGTCCTCTCTGGGTCAGGAGGCTGCGTCAGGCACCTAGGCACACCCACCCCCACCTCCTGCGCGGGGCCCGCCCCCACTTGCGGCTTTCTCTGGCCACCTGGAGGGTATGGCCGATCTTCTGAGATCGTCGGTGGCCTGCGCCCGGCCAAGCTTGGTCCTGCTCAGCAGCCTGAGACCCCACTGTGTTTATCTGCACTGGGCAGTGGCAGCGTATGCTCTGCCTCCCCCGAGTCTGCCTCAGGGGACTCCATCCACACCCACGTCTGGGGAATCCTCTGAAGTTAGTGTAAATCCGGGGTGGAGACTCTCTGCGCCCTAGTCGTGCTTCCTAGTCGTGCTTCCCACTCGGGATCCAGCCTGCCGGCCAAGCCGGCTGTCTGCGCTCCGAGCCCGCTGCGAAAGAACGCGAACTGCAGGAACCAGGGACAGGCGGAGTTCAGCCAGGTCCTAACTAAACCGTGGGACAAAAATGTACGCAGAGTTAACACCAGTGTGCTGGGTGGCCTGCAAAGGGTCAAAAGGTGTCACCAGGATTCCGGGCCCTGTAGGGTGGCAAGGTGGGGCGATGCCACGGTCCCAAAGTAGTCTCTGGTGAGGCCGACAGGGCTGCCCCGCAACCTTGGCGTATCCCACATAGATTCTGTTGGCGACAGGGGCTCGATAGCTACAAAAGGGTCCTTTTGGACGCGATCTCGGCCTAAGGTTTAGACGGCGGCGGCTCCTTGAAGCAGTAGCCCAGAGAGCGTGAGGACGGCTGGTGCATGCGGCAGGCAGGCGGAGGCGTCCTCAAACCCTGGGTAGATAGAGACAAGGTCCGTTACGGGGCCTCGAGCCCGCGCAAATTCGGCTGCAGCCACAGGAGCGAAGGCTGTCCAGGTCGTTGGGAGATAGCGGGCCACATCTCGAGGCCACAGCCGGATGGCCTCAGTGTGTGCTTCTCCACGCTGCTTCTGCTGTGCCGGAGGCGAGGTAGAGGCTTAGTTGGTCAAGGTCACTGTCCCTGGTTTTGTCCGAGCCACCGAGGTTGAGCGACTCCGTGACGGTTTGCCCCGCAGTTCTCAGGCACTGTTTTAGTACTTTCTGATTAGCAGGCCCATTGCTAAGTAACTGAAGGTACTTCTCACCTCCACAAAAATTTAAAGTCTGTAGCTCAGAGACTGACAATGAGTGGACAGCGAAAATCACAACATAGTAGCTGGATCTAAACATTCTCTTGAGAAATACCTGAGCCGACAGATAGAGACATGTGGCAAGAATCCGTGGGCTTGACTGTATCTACATTTGTGTCTGCGAAAGCTCAAAGCTGCTAAGATTCCCCAGAATTGAACAGCAACTCCCTAGAAATCACATTTGCCCTCTGGAAAGTTGTCCTGGCTTTAGCTTCAGATACCCTGATTGTACCCTGCTTAAAAGCACCCGGCCATAGCTTATGATATTCTGTTTATGTTGGGGTTGGGGGTTGTTATTGTTTTTATTAGTGATCCTCCGTTTAAAGAAAAAAAGTATTTTTTTCATTGATCTAATCTACAATTTCTAGCACATAAATCTGCTTTGCAAATGCTCTGCACGGAGTTTAGTTCTGCACTCTACATTTTAAGTCAACATCAAAACCGGAATTAAACAGAGAAAGCCAGCGTGGAGCATAAACTGTGCTTAAAGGCTTTTAAATGAGAAAAACTTATGTAAGAAAATAAACATGGAAACCTAATGCTCAATCATTTCCCCAAGCAGCAAGAAAAACAGCCTTAAATCACCCATCCACGTGGGAAATGGGGCCTCTTTTTCAGTTCTCGGCCTCAAAAAATATATATACAGTAATAAAGAATTTCGATCTTGAGGTGGATAATATAGAAAGAGTCTGTGGAGGTTTGTTTAATCATCCTTGTCTTTACAGCCTTTCTGGAGACTCTCTTTCTTGCACAGTTACTAATTCCAATTCTGTAATTATTTTATTTTCCCAAGACATCTTGAGGATGAAATGGTAGTGTGATGTTACCAAGATTCTGAAAAGCTGTAGATTTGTAAATATGTCTGATCGTTTCAAAGGTTATTCTGTAAGCCACTATACAGCCAAAACCAGCCAAAACCGTATTATATCTTGATAACAAATATATATTTTAGTTGAGTTTGTCTTACGTTGCACACAAATAAGGTCACATCATCTTTTTTTTATTCTGCCTTTCTGTCTTTGATAATACCAAAGATACATTTCTAGATGCCTCAATTTTTTTCGCTTTGCAAGACCATTTTAGAATAGGATACATTGCCAATTGGGAGATACGCAGTTTTAATGATTTCACAGTAATCTTCCCTGAGTTTTATTTTTACTGTGAAATCTCAAATCTAATGCTTTATTCTGAACAATTCTAGGCATCCATATCCTGTTCTTCCCCTCTCTCTTTTTAATTCTCTTTTTAATTGAGCTCAACAGCTCAATTTTATCTATTCAGATTAGAGCCCAAGTTTTCCCCTAGGCCAGGAATCTACTAGACCCTGGTCGGGGAAGGGTTGTACTCAGCAATTGGGAGGGATTCACAATATTTGAGGATTTAAACCATTTCTCAAATATAAATATGGAAGGATTTTTGTTTGTCTATTTAAGCCTTTTGGCATTACAGGGTGTGATGGATTAAATATATGTGAGCAAAAACAATAGAGTCATACAATCATTGTTATGCCTATGTCACCAGATTTATAATTACTTTAGATTATATACCTTGCAATACCCATGTTACATGTGAAAGAATGCTTACCATTACTAGACAACTATCTCCCATCCTTAAAATGAAATCGTATTGAAGACCTACTATGTGCTAGGGTGGTGTTAAGACATGTAAAAATGAACTTCATTTTCAAATAAATTGTTTTCATTTTTTATTATGTAAAAAAGAAAAGATTATCCCCATATAAAGTGCTGGGTTTGCACCACTGCAATGGACACAATCTTGTCCACCCCCTTCCTTCAATCAACAGCAGAACCCAAATTTGGCACCCTCTGCAGGTTATGCCTGGTTCTTCGCTTGTGATTTTTTCACTCCTTTAAAACTATTGGGTTGTTTGTTTGTTTCTTGCTGCTATTGCTAAATGTTTTTAAGGGATGTGTTTAGTTTTGAATTTTTGAAGCTAATCTATCCTCAAAATTAAAACCTCATTCCTAGCAGCCAGCTGTTCGGATGACCCTGTCAAACTCACCGTGTGGAGGCTGCGGGGTGAGTTATGAGCTCAACAGTAGCTGGAGAAATAAATGATGTGCCCAGAGTTCACACATCGTCCATCCCCTCCTCCCCATAAACTCACACTCACCCGCTGAAGGGAGAAGAGGGAGGAGGAGCCCGGGGGCCCAGGGCTCGGGAGGAAGGTGAGGGGCGCTGCAGAAAGCACAGTCATCAGTTAAGGTAGCCACAGGGGACCGTGCTGGCCACCAACCGGACTCCGGCGGGAGTTTTCATCAGCGCTCTCTTTAAAATACCAAGAAGTTGGCTAAAACAATTTATTTAGCGCGCGATTTATAATCTATGGAGTTATTTTAAATAAGAAAGCTCGCTCTCTTAAAAACAAAAACAAAACGACAAAAATCAGCCCTGATCCCTCCAGGCCACCTGTCCAGGGTCTGCACAACACAGATGAGCGCCCTGGCCCAGCGACTCCCCCGGTGCTCGGGTGCCTTTCTGTGCCCACCCAGGAATGCAGACCTGCTATCCTCTTCCTCCCGCGATTACTCGCAGCCCCACAAGCAGCACCATATGCTTCTTCTGATCAAACAGCGAGCGACATTGGCACTGATAATTGACGAGACCCGCTAGAAATCACGCAGAAAGGGAGCCCACTGAGACCGCAGGGGCTGACAAATCACTGCTAATAATCCTGTTAGGAACAGCGCGACCAACGGAGTTCGCAATAGCTTTATTTTTATAAAGTAGGCGCTGACAATATAAAAGACAACGAGATCTCTTTTTTAAACATAAGGCAGTGTAGCATCACAGTAATTTTCCCACCAGCAATTCTCAGCAGAATTTGAATGGGAAATAAGGTTTTTAATAGATAAGTCCTTCTCTCTCTCTCTCTCTCTCTCTCTCTCTCTCTCTCTCTCTCAACTTTTACAGGCACTTCAGGTTTTGATTCCTTTCCTCCTGTGTTTTCCAGGGTCAGATGAGACTGTTCAATGAACTGGTTTAAGGCAAAACGACTATTATACTACTTACAGTTTTAGGGTAAAATAGAACCATAATTTGAAAGTTTTCCTTTGGTGCCCCTGACTAATTGAGGGCATGTTTTTGCAAGATTTTGATTCAGATAGTAACTTTTAGTCAAGATCAAGCAAAATGAAACTCCAAGCCAAATAATGACTATTTCTTTCCCTCTGTTTCCTTAAAAGAAAACAAACCCCAAACATCCAAAATCGACAATAACATAAACCTCTCTGGGTCAAATAAGAAGTTCTGGTTTGTAAACAAACAGGGTTCTTTCTTAGATTTTTGTTTATTTTGCATTATCTCCTTTACATTTTCAAATGCCCTCCTTCAGAAATGACATAACTAAAATATACACTTGAAATCTATTCATGCTCTCTGAATGTGAGTAAAGGGAAGAATGGAGAAGTAGAAGACAGAAATGTCTTTTTTCCCAGTGAGTATAAATGTTTTTTATACAGGAGAGTGTTTTGTGAAAGCTGTGCTCTTCTCACTCGGAGAATCTTCATAATCTAAATACACATTTAAAATCATGTAAACAGCTCAGATATTCTAATCTCTAGTCCTTGTAAGACAATTTTCCCAGGACCCATTTGCCAACCTACCACCTAGAAGATATTTTCTAAGTGGGCTATGCAAATTAATTCAATCTTATGTTTTGGGGGACTAGCCTATTACCTCAGAGATACTACCAAGCCCAGAGTTGCAAATAACATACCCCAGAGTTAGTTTCAGAACCTGTGAATGTCTCAAAAACTCAAAATAAATTTGCTATCAGCAGTCAAGAGACTGGGTAAAGTCAGGACATATTTGTCTATGAATATGCTTGCTTCTCACTTGCAGAATTATAAACACATAAAGAAATTATTATCCAGTTTTGCTAGTTTCATGTACACTGGTCTATCTATAGGTAGCAAAAATACAAGAATTTGGCAGTGTTCCTGCTTTCTACCAGATACAATTCTAACGAGAGGAATAAAAAAAAAAAAAAAAGCCATGTTTGGATTAGTAGTACTTTCAATTGAGCCCAGTATCTGAAGTGTTGACAAAAGCAGTGTTTGGGCTGCTTCCCAACCAAACATATCTGATGGACTGAAGAGAAAGTATTAATGGGGATGTAGAAGGAGCCAAGAAAAGGCAACAGGATTTCTAAGTTCAGAGAGGTCTTTAGTCAAGCAGCCACGCTAAACTTCCCTTTGCAAAAACTGTGTGAAAGTATGAATGTACTTCTCCTCCCAGTGGTATAGGTTCACGCACTGGCTGGCAAATCCTCTACCCCTTCCGTCTTTGAAATTCCATCTGGGCAAAGTCACTTACCTTCTGGGAACACTACTCTCATTTTGAGATAGCTGGTCGTGAGTCTGATTATGGATGCTTTGTCCAGCTGCGAAGTGATAGCCGAGGGCAAAGGCAGTAATTTAGCCAGTTCATAAAACTCACTGTTTTCCTTCTCCCTCCTAGTCCGGGCAGCATTTTTGGACTTCTCTTTCATTGTGTCTCGTTCCCCCTTTCTTCTTACAACATAAGCTCCACAGATTCATTCAAAACCAAAATAAACTTTCACTTAGAGATCACATTTGGCAGAAATATAAAGCATACTTTCAATGAAAAGACTAAAGTCTTTGCTTCGGTGTATTAGTAGTGGTAAAAGACCAAGGCGGCGAACAGAAAATATTTTCTTTAAAAACACAGGGTGCAAATATAGGAAAGTTGCTGATCCAGGGCAATCGGGGCAATCCTGGGAATCTCTAGATATCAAATGCCGGCGGGACCCCTGAGGAGCCAGCCTTGTCCTCTGTTCCGCGCTGCGAACCCCGGTCCTCGGAAAATCGACATAATCCCCGACGTTCGCTCTTCAGTTTCGCGGCATTTGAGACGGCTCCAGGCCCCTTTGCGAAGAACTGGAAAGCCGGGCGACTCTCTCAGGCCACTGTGAAGACAACAGCATCAGAGCGTGAGAGATCTGCGGCTCCGCGATCACTCCTGCCCTCGCCCGACCTCCGGAAAGGGCCTCCGCGCGCCTCAGCGTTCCTCGGTGTTTCTGTTTGTTTGTTTAAAATACGGAGAAATCAGCAGAGAGAGTGAGCCCCTTGCAAACCACGCTCGTTCGCATTCCCTCGCCCAGGTCAGCCACATATTCCAGCCCCCTGGGAAGTGGCCTCAACAACAGAACGACAGTGCTGAAGAGCCCTGGGGGACCCGCGGCCGCCGGTGCCCGCGCCCGCGCCAGGTCCCGGCGCTCGTCCTGGGAAAGCAGGTTTCCTCCACTCCGAACCTCTACAGCGCTGGGGCTGCCTTTCCGTACCCCCACTTGGGCAGATCTGGAACTTGGCTACCTCTCCAACTTGGATCTTAAGTCTCAGGGATTCCTCAAAAAGTGGCACTTACACATCAAGTCCCTCGGGATTCCCGAGGCGACCCAGCGTCCTCCTTGCCCAGTAGGGGCGGCAACACGCCGGGCAAGGCAGCGCTAGGTTAACAGGTGGCACATTCACAACAGCCCCTCGCAGGCACCGGGGGATGGGGTGGGGGGTGGGAGGCTGTCCGGCCTCTCTCCCTCAGCGGTAGAGTAGCGGGTGCCACTGGGCGGGCGCAGGGTGTCTTCCGCTTCACCTACCTTCAGTCCCCGCTGGCGGCAAAGGGTGCGGAGGCGCCCGCCTCTTAATTGTACTCATGTCTACGGTCCAACTAAGCAACTCCACGGGCCTCTCCGCTTCCCACCGGCAGAGAGGAGGAGCAGAGAGCGTCCTGACTCCCTTTTCTCTCCCGGTCATGAATTGGGGGAGGGGCCCGTGGGAGAAGAAGGGGGATGCAGGCTTTGGGACGGGTGAGGTAGTTTTAGAATCCTCCTGCTGGGTAGTTGCTAGTATAATTCCTAATTGGAAGCCGAAAACGCCCCCCTGTAACTTCTTTATACCTTGCGGGGTTTAGCTTCAACTTCACTCCCGGGCTCGCTCTCGCCCGCCCTCCCTTAATGCCACTCACAAACCTCCTCGCTTCCGATTGGTCCGGTGCGCCCAGGGACACGGCGCTCATTGGCCAACTGAGCTGAGTGACGCGAACACGCCTCGCGCTGCTCCCCGCGAGTCCCGGCTCCCGGCTCCCAGCCTTGCTACCCGCGTGGCCGCGGTGCTCCCAACGAACCGCGGGCACCGGTGGCTACGCGGTCCTGCAACCGCTGTTGCCTCAGGCTTCCGGGGCGTCGCGGGCGATGTGCAGGACCCGCGCTTCCCGCGATCCCTGGGGTCGAGTGGCTAAGCACTTAGCCCGAGCGCGGGCACCACAGTGTCGAGGGCAACCGCAAGCCGCGGGCTGCCGCCAGAGGCCGCAGAGGTCAGGCGGTGGGGGTGGGGGCGGCGGGGACCGCGACTCCCTGCTGGAGAAATAGAGAGTCGCTCAGGCTGCGGGACGGGTTCGCTCACCCGCCGACCCGGCGGCCGCGACCTTCTCGCGGGCCAGTCGCAGGGCCCACGTTGTGCTCCAGGCCGGTGTTGGGCTCTATTTTATCTTTCACATTTGTCTGCGTCTAAGGCGACACCGAATTCGTCGTCAGATGAGGTCAATATACCTGTCTTTCAATTAATCCCAAAGAGGAGCATCTTTTTCGAAATGGGTAGAGTTTGGGGGCTGCTTAGTTCACCGTGGAAGGCTCATCGGTGGAGTTTTCCTCTGCGGAACAGAGAGGGGACACTAGAGGAAAAGAGGTTACATTTCGGGCCAAAATTGAGTACGCTATCTCACATACTCCGTTGTTTTAAAATGTGAACGAAGACTTTTTGGTGGGTTTTGTTTCAGAAAACAAAAGCCCAACGTCAGTATGCCTTACAGAAAGGACAGTCTACGGGAGTGAATTCAAAGCATTCCCAATTCCCCGACAGGAGCCTTTTAAACAAACGCTTGTAAGTATGATTACTGACAAATTCTGTCTTAGACACGTAATTTGATTCGCCTTCTCTCGCGCCGTGCGGAAGAGCAGAGAGCAACGGGAAAAAGTTGACTTGTCCCCCAGGACACTTTTTGCTGCTGGCGAATCACTCCCTGAAGACGCGATTCCCTGCTCGGCTGCGGTGCTGCCGGTCACCGCGGTTCAGCTGCTGGAGGTGCGCTGAAGGCAGTTTGTTTCAACAGCCGTAAAAGAGAGTGGGAGCGCCCGTAATGTTGCACTCACCCTCCCCTTTGCGGTTCAGATTGCCGCTGAGAACACATATACATACTCTGAAGAGGGTTGTCTGCCATTCTGCTGTGATTCGGAACAACTGTAAGAGTGTTTATTCAAAAATACAGACATCTGCCACGTCCTTGCCGCCCGATGGCAGTAAGCTCTCAGAATGACAACCGGAGGTTTCTGGGGGTATTTACACATCTGGGAGACACCTGGCAATAGGAGGTGAATGTTCAATATAGAAAGAAGGAATAGGGGGGGAAAACCTAAACATGGAGATTTGTAGGTGTTTCAAAATTTGAATCCAGCTAATGGGCTCTATATAATCCAGAGCAGAGACTGTAGCCAATTAGAGACCTTGTTCTGGGTGGTTCGACCACCAAGCGATGCACTTTTAACGAGGGACAGGTAGGAATACAGAGAAGTACTGTGGCTCCCTCAGTCACGATTCCAGAAAAACCAGGTAAGATCAAGTAACTACTGCGTGTAGGGAGGGGATGTGTGTTTGCAGAAATGAGAGGACCTTCGATGACCCTTGCTTCCCCCACCTGCAGCCTGAACAGACCTTAGGGGCAAAATGGAGCTGCCAGGCAATGCAATGGCGCTATAGGGGTAAGAAGTGGTTTTCTATTCCAACTGCGTTCTAGAAAGGATTTCAGTTAAGTTTGCGGTTGCTTTAAACCCTATCTCTACTTCAAACAACGTGCAGGTGTGTTCGTGCTTTTTCTGGAGTCTGAAACCCTTGCCCACAGCAGGAGCTCTCAGGGGGATTAGGCGGTGGCGGGATCCCTCTATAGGGTACGTTTCACCTGGAAGAAACGCAGTACTTTGCCTTGAGAAGCAAGATGAGCAAAATGAGTATGGAAGTCTTCACACCGAAGACGATGCCCTGGGGGGCCAGGCGGTCTGCTCCATCGTCCCAGCGATGCTCAGTTGTTGATGAACCGAGTAGATGTCGCTTAATAAACAAAGTGAATGCACGGCCATGGCCCGCTCGCTAAGTCCTCCGCACACAACTGTCTGAGCTGAGTTTACTCAGAGAGTGAATTAGCATAGCGACGTAACACCTGTTTTTCTAATCTTTGAACCCAGGCTGTAGCCGGAACGAGGCTCCTTCACTTCCCCCGCCCGGTCGCCAGGACCCGGCCTCGCACCCCCCAGTCGACCCCGCCCTCCCGCCCCTCGCGCGCTCCCAGCCAGTCTGGGGCGTGAACGGAAACCCAAGATTCTGCGAATCTGTGTTGCCCTCTAGCATGAGAAATTTTTAAAAATTTCTTGGGACTCAAAAGCAAATCATACCCATATCTTTGTCAATATAAGGGATAAAGCCCCAGAAAAGAAAGATGGGCACGTGCGATCCACCAACACCGAACACGAATCCTCAGGGCGTCTAGGCCGCTCCTTCCTTGCGCGGGCGCCTCTGCCTTTAGCCCTCCGGCCCTTAAGCACTGTCTACGCAGCCCCCGAACGCCATCCTAACGCGGGAAGAAGCCGGAACCGATCTATAAACGAACATCTTGCTCCTCTGCTCTTACCCCACCCCGTCCTCAATGAGGGCAAACAGCCTAGAATGACCGCGACATCTTGCCCATGGGAGTCTCTTGCATCTTCCGGGCGGCTTTGGATGCTGCCCACTTGGAGTCTGCCCGCCGCCGGCCCGGACGCCCCCACGTGCAGGCACCAAAGGCTGTGCGCGCCCGGAATCGACAGGAAGGGGTCTCCGAGGGCCGCCTGACCTCTCCCAACATCAGGCAAAGTCCAAACTAGAAAAGCTGAACCCTTGGGTTATAAAAGGCCAAGTGAACGCTCAGCCGAATTCCGGTGCAAACAGCCGAGCAGTAACGCAGCAGCCCCAACCCGGGCACGTTGTGGTGCCGACTCATACTTGGACACAGACCTCCATCCTGCCTTCTGGTAACTCCTCTCTGCGCCATGACGCCTGAGCATCTTATCAAACCTGGAGTGATTTCTGTGTGTCCCCCGCCCTCATCTCCCCCACCCCAGTAACATACTTTCCCCCCCCTCCCCGACAGACTGTTAGGAACGCACACATGCGCTTCTACGCGCTTGCAATTCACATAAACACGACTGTACAAAACACATAACCCCGATCAGGATGAAGGATATATTTATGATCAAGATGCAACATCTAAAGATAGTCATTTAAATATCTCAGTATGTTATATCCAGATGTTCACTCTTTACCACTGGAAAGAAGAATTTATCTGGGGAAATATTGATGTCTAGGAAAATATTAACGTTTTTCTTCTTCCATGTACGCAAGTAAATCCTGCTCTAGTCCCGTTTTATTACCACATGTAGACCTGATTATGTCCAGGCAGAAACAAGAGCCCCCTAAAACTTTGACCCAGTGGGGAAGGGTCTACTCGTAAACATAGGAGAGGATGAACCTCCAAAAAAAAAAGCCGACATATTTAATATTTTAGAAATTACTGTAAATACTACTTATTGATTAGGATGTTTTGGAAATAAGATATTTTATGCACAAAAAAACAAAACAAAACAGCCCTCTTCTGAGGTACTGCTTTTTAGGCGCCTGACTTATTGATCATTGAAATGTCCAAAAAATTACTTTTAGTGGTTACACACTGGAGAAAAAAGGAAGAAAATATACCAACTTGAAAAATAAGAGCGGCGACTGCAAGGATATTGTATAGTTTCTCTAAATATTCTGGATTGCATTTTCCACCCAGATTTTGATATTGTGATCTAATATACCTGGAATTCGTTGCTGAGAAGCCAAAGTGCTTCTTAAACTGTGCACACGTTAAAAAAAAAAAAGAACTGGAAAATCCCGATGCTGCGCGTTCTGAGGACAGGAGCCGATTGGTG